TTCAGATGTGTTTTTCATGCATGCATGTCAATTTTGTTAAAGACTTTATTTATTTGAGTGTTTAATATCTTGCTATAATTAATTACAACCATAAAGTGTATATTTTTTTAACTAGTTGTAGAAGTTAAGTGCAATGGAAATAAAATATCAATATGAAATGAAGGGTACATACGAGCAAGTTTGAAATGTCAACATTATTTTCACTGAAGATAGAGGTAAAACTGAAAATCAAGTAAACCTAGCATACCACACGAGGCCAAAATTTCAAGATAAAAAAAAGTGTTGGAAAAAAAAATTTATAAAGGAAACATAGTTAACAATATTAGAAAATCTCTCTTATCAGTGCGATAATTCCCTCTGAATTCGGAGTAATGGTAATTAAAATTACATTTAAACTTATTTATGAGCTATGAAATTACTTTATAAGTACTGTTGTGCATATATCGCATCAAAAATAATTTTCCATCGAAAGAAATATTATTTCTCTTACCATTGAAATTTATTTACTTATTTTAACATTTTTTTTTATTTTTAGTTTTAAACAGCTACATTAACTTTTTTGACATAAAAAATATACCTATATACTAGTATCTTGCTGTATCTTAAAGTTTTATGTTCTTCACGTCAATAGACTTGTATCGATGGATTAGAATAAAAAAAAAAACACATCTTTTTTTTTACCTAGTAGCAGGAACTCCATACCCCCCCCCCCCCCCGGAAAAAAAAAGAAAATAGAAAAGAAAAACGAAAAAGAAATAATGTATTGAAAGACAAGAAATACCTTTCAAACAAAGTAGCTGTTGATTTTCCTTCATCACGGATATAGGTTCACCATTGTCTTCTTTTCATGTAATTTCCTCTGTACCATAGGACAAATTTTAGATGTTGAGTATATTTCTTGGATATTTTTGCAATATTCCTCGCTAAATTCGGAGCAGTTAAACACTGTCGACGACTTTTCTACGAGCAAATTTCCGAAATTTGGTAGAACAACCGACATTTTCTCTGTTTTTTTGTTTTTTTTTTAAATAATATCATTAAAGAATTTTGTATCACTTGCGTCAGTTGTAATTATCAAAGGAAATGGTCCCAAAATCCAATTTATATTTCATTCAACGTTTAATTAACTCTTTTAATATGCACGTCTTAATTAATCCGTTTTTTGCAGTTGTATATTTCTCAGGTCTAAATTAGATCAAAACCAACCTGTAAATCAGGGGGGATGATGTTAATTATAGTATTTGATTATTCAAGATGACATGGTGATCATCAAAGAAAATTGTTCGTGATCTTAGTTTAAGACATTCAACAAAAATAGTTTATACTCTCGTTTTAGATATAAAGGATAAAACACTGATATAATCCGGTAAGAGTCAACAATGCCTACAAAGACCAGAAACGTCAAAACGGTAGCCACAAGCCACTTAATTGACCAGGTGGTTGACAGGTGCTACATAATAAAATAAAAGAATATATTGATCATCATTATAAGGCATTTTGATTGAGATTCATTTGATAATATCAAATATCATACTGAATAAATCAAGTATTCGATCAACGTTATAAAATAGGTTGTAGAAAATTTGATGTTAAGTAACATATAACAGTAAAGTAACAGATTTCTTATGTGTAGAAGGAGTATTTTAGAAAAACAATATAAATACTTTTCAATCAAAAAATTATGTGTATCACAATGTAAAACAGAAAACTGAATGATTGGGGATTTTTTTTTAATGTTGATCATGTAACTACCCCCCCCCCCCCACTTTCTTTTAGACCCATTGGTTCCGAGAAATTTTGATAATATTTTTTTTTTTAAAAAAGCTGGTTGACATTGCAAATCAATAAATTTAAAAAAAATATTTAAAAAAAAAAACGTACATACAAAGGAAAAAACAAAACAGAAATACAAACAAAACAATTAGGAGACTTTCCCTTTGTCGTTCTATATAAATACATGTACCAGTAAAAAGAGAAACAACCGACTATGTCAGCTTTTATTACAGAAGAAACAGCAATTAAGTGTCAGACATCTTTAGTTTAAAGTCACTTTTCATTTTGTGGACAGAGAAAAGAAAAAAGACTCACAGTAGCGACAATCGCTCACGTGGATGTAGCCAATTTAAAAAAAATCCAATACCTATCTGGAACAAAAACCAAAATTCACAAAACTTTGACAGTTCAGTGGGTAATAATTCCAAAATGGATGATTAGATACTTTAGAATTTGTTTAATATATTGTACACTGGTTTTGTCTATATAGTCAGCAATTCTTGTTTTTGCAATTTTCATAATTTATATCATATAATTTTCAAATAACTGACATAGCCAAAAACTACATAAATAACAAATTCATATTTCAGAGGCTACAACTCCAACATTTAGAATCAAACAATGAAATTTGGTAAACAAGTAGTCTAGACCTTATTATACCATTTGATTTTGTCATTACGATTACGTATACAACTCCAATAGTTTTCAAAAAATTCTATTTTCAAGACGTCAAAAACTACAAGTCACCAGAATTTTACATTATTTTCAGGCGCTGATGAAGTCTGATAAGTAACTAAATCATACCATTTTGATTATTTTCACCCTTGCCAGACTGTGCCTATATGCTATCATTTCTGAGCTATTAGAGAGAAAAAAATGCATATCGCTCTTACGTTCTATTTGTAGTATAAGTGCATGGCCTTAATTTTTGAATCAAAATGAAAAGTGTACAGATTTTAATGAAACTTGCTAGATAGCTAGATCATTATTCCCTGCAAGATTTTGCCTGTCTGCATTAATGTCTGAGTAATAAGCCCCCTCCCCCCCCCCCCCCAATGCATATCCCTTAATGTTCTTTTTATAGAAACAACGACCTTGTTAAAATGAAAAGTGAGTCTTTTGGAGAAGACATGCCCCACATTATTTCTATAACGTTTCAGAAAAATCTGCCCAGTAGTTAATAAGTTTACGACGCCGACCACGCCGACAGACGCCAAATGATGTCGTGTTAAGTGGCATGTTAAGCTCACTTGTTTTGTTTTGAACATATTTTATTGAAAATCTGGGCCAGCTGAGCTAAAAAAAATCATAGCTAATTCATCTTAGATCAGCAATATTCTTAATGTAGTAAAATAAATTTGATTTGGTCATTACAGAATCCAGTCTTAATTTTTAAGAATATACTATTTAATTGAGACCCTTTGGTTCAAAACTGCAACATCATTGTTTTGTTGTAAATTGACAGTTCTTGCATCAAATACTACTTAACTAACTTCAAAAAGTCTGAAGTTTGATATACATCAATAGTTATTTTGAATCTTGCATGCAAAATATTGACAATGCACTCAGTAAATGTCTTCTCCGAAAGAGATAGAGAAAAAAAAACCCAAAGATTGCCTATTTTTTAAAATAAAAAATGATCAAGACGTATTGTCATTAATTAATGAAAGTATGGGTCCAATAGGTTCAAGTTTTATTTCTGTTTTAAAAAGACAAATAGATACAAATGCATGTCCCCTGTATATAGAAAACGTGTTATGGATTTTTCAATAACTTTGAATGAATCCAGTAGTACAAGTTTGTACATGTAGACAGTTGATAAATTTGGATAAGTTATAAGACATCTGAAAGTTTTCCTTGGTGTTTCTAATTTAAGATAAATTCATGAAATAAGTTTATCAAAGACCCTAATTAGTGTTTATCGTATATGACCCCATGTATTTAAATTTATTTTTTTCTTTTTATTCTCTCTAACATTATTAAAACAGACATAATTCTCTCATTAAGAAATTTACGAGCTCTGTGTTTTGTCAATAGGAAGATACCCCACCCCCTTCTTCAAGTGTAATTTTCAAGCCTCTGTCCTCTTTAGCTCACCTGAGCCAAAGTCTCAAGTGAGCTTTTCTGATCAAAAAGTGTCCGGTATCCGTTTGTCTAGCTGTCCGTCTGTCGTGTGTTGTCTGTAAACTTTTTACATTTTCGACTTCTTCTCCATAACCACTCGGACAATTTCAACCAAACTTGCCACAAAGCATCCTTTGGGTGATGGGGATTAAAGTTTGTTCACAGGAAGTGTCATATCCTTTTTCAAGGGGAAATAGTTAAGAATTCTTGAAAATTTTGTGGCATATTTTAAAAATCTTCTCAAGAACCACTGGGCGAGAAAAGATGAAACTTATGTGATAGCTTCATCACATACTGTAGATTCAAGTATGTTCATATCATGACCCCCAGGGGTAGGGCGGGGTCACAACAGGGGATACATAGGAATACATAGGAAATATCTTTTAAAAATCTTCTGAAGAACAGCAAAGTCATGATTAGTCTTTTTTTGCTTATTATAAAGTTTGTTCGTGTATTAAGAGGCCATTTCAGTAAACATTGAGCAAACAACACAGCTCTTCATGCGATATAATAGGTAAAATCTAATAAAAATCAATCACAAATTAAATTTTTTCCTTATAAAACAGAAAAATATATTTCAAAGCAATTTATGAGCCATATTATAAAATTATACATGGAGTTTGGATGTAATATACACGAATTTTAAAAGGATAGACCAGTCCAAATATTTATGTAATAAAATATAACAAATGCTCTGGTTGCCATGGAAACAAGAGGTCATATGCCTGGTAGATATATTGTTTTGAAAGACTATTCAAACCCATCATGTTCACAAAATTTGAGCTAGGAATAAAATTTTCCACTTTCCATGTTTATATAGTGTGAAGCTCAATGCTTACTGACATGGCCTCTTAACTGCTTATTATAGATACCACGGAAGTCAATATAATGTACGAAAAGTGGAAGTGGGCAGTTGGCAGTCAATAATGAAATTACATAGGATGTGTCAAATTTTTGTCAACCATAAAGAGTAATCAATTAAAAAAACTAAAATGTAGAAATATATATTTGTATTCAATCAAGTGATATTATTATAAAACTAAAAAGTTACAAATAATTCAACAATTCTCTGTCTATAGTTCGTTTTACAGGTGTCTCAAACATCAGCCAAACACACGGAGAATAAATGAAAATGTCTTGTTTGTCCTTTTCTTCTTTCCTTTCTTCTCATCTGTGAAATTATCTCTCTTTCCCTTCTTCTGAAATAATCAATTTAGTACATGGTTATAAAGTTTACAATCGGTGAAAACAAATATTTCAGTTTTAAACAAAGAATTGATTGATTCTTTCTTTAAAGACATAGCGTTTAACATGTCACATTCGATATTAAACATGGACAGAAACTTACATTCTTCTGAAGAAGTGGGTGGAGCCTAGATTGTATTTTTGCTATTTTGATACTGCTCAACTAAAAATGAAACGAAAAATATCATTAATACGCAAAAATGATTTATTTGTAACGCTATGATTTTAAAAAGGATTAACTAATAAAATCTAAAGCTGATTATTTTAAAGTGATTTAAGTAATTAGGGAACTTAAACGGATGACTACTGAAAAATTATCCATACTATAAATTACCATTTTATCACCAAACAGAGAATCGCCTCCAGTACTAAACTGCATCATAAAGGTATCCTTTTCCCTGGTAGTATTCCTTTTGGCGCCATTTCCATGTGGCTCAGATTTCTGAGAAAAAGAAACCAAATATCATGAAATTAATTATTAACATTTGATAACGTCTGTAAATTCTGGTAATGTATACTTTGAAGTTTAAGACAATCCTTTGAAGTTTAAGACAATCAATTCATTTTATTACCCTAAAATTGAATCCTTCCAGAACTAAAGGGCTCGCCATCAATTTGATATAAGGATTTCTATCATCTTTGTCCTAGAGATATTACAGAGAAGAAAATTAATTAAAAAAAATAGAAATGCTAAACACTGCTAATGATGGACTGGACATTGATTTTTTTTAAATTTACATGTATATAAATCCATAATGTAATAAAAACGAAGTCAAAATATTGAATGTGTGGACTCACCTCAAAGCCTACGCCATCCCCCTGATTGCACTGGGCAGCAGTTTCTTTCTTGTTCTCCATGTCTTCCTCCTTGAATAAAAACGACAAATTTATGTGTATAAAACACGAAAAGTCTCGGAATTAACGTTTTGAAATTCATTCAAATTTTCAATAAAGACATTTGTATATAATAAACTTACAACTAAAATATCGAGTTTAAGTTCAAATTTCTGCCGACTCCATTGCCTGTTGAAGTAGTAATGCAATGCATCTTCAGGGGCAAATGGCTGAAAATTAAAAAATTAGTGAAACTAAGCCCATGATAAAAAAAAAAAGAAATATATCACTTTATACAAGCGTGTTTTGTAACTTTCAGTACCTCCAGATATGGCAGTTTTCTTTCGAGCCATTCCACGAGTTGTCTCCCGTCTTTGAATTCTGGCTTTGTTCCATTTTCCCGAACCTTTTCAGTTTTTTTGACTGTGCCATCAACGTAGTCATCTGTCAAACTAACATCTTCGTCCTCTTCAAATTCTTTTTCCTTTACATAACAATGAGAGATTTGCTTAAATTTCACAAACGTTTTATGTATAAAATGCTGACATTTTATCAATAGGGTCAATGTAGACTAGGTCTCGGCTTATGCTAAAAAGCATAAGCACTGGACTTTAACGCAAGAATAAAATTAAGAAACTAGCTTACAAGTAAAGGTTCCATATCGGGAAAATATCTCTGTCTACTCCAGCTCCGAAAATAGTAGTAATGAACCGCATCACTGGATTCAAATCGCTGAAATATTACATTTTATAAATAATCATGAAATCGAGAAATAAAAGCATTTAAAATTACTCATAGTCATAAAATGTAACATTTAAGGTTCTCATATAAAGGCATAGTGAAATACGTATTTCTCTATACCTCTAAATATGGAAGTTGTTGATCCAACCATTCTAGATATTCTGTACCGTCTTTGAATTCAGACCTGGCATTGTCTATCCAATCACTATCGAAATCCAAATTTCCAAAATATTCCTTACTCTTCTTGTATTTGGGTTCCTGTGATGCATTAAAAATATGTCATTCAGTAATTAAAATTTAAATATATATACATTTACATATACATGTACATAGTTTAAGTAGAGTGCAAATGAAATACTAGTAGTTACCATAATGGTTTCACTACTTGAACAACTTCAATGTTTTGCCTCCGTTGTGAAGTGTTGCATTCTTCCTTAGAAGTTATTGTGACGTCACAATGCAAAGACGTCGAACCTTTACACAGTCATCGTGATTGTGACGTACTTTATCATGACGTCTGAGCTGATTAGAGAGAACTTTTATGTTAGCACACCAAAACTTGGAAGATGAATTTTTGTGAAAAATTATCTTTTACTTCATGAACATTTTTATAGATACTTGACGTAATAACCTAGCATTTATAATACTCTGCTAATGTTGCATGTTAATGGGGCAGTGATCACACTCAAGCTCTGAACAAGCTACATGTATGTAACGTCACATGTTTATTTCGTTGACTATCTCTGACGACGTGTGACTCAATTTTTACACCGGAAATAAGTCCAATTCATGCAAATTAGAATCCCCACCCAATTAGACATTTATTTCTTAACTTAAACCATTGTATTTGATTTAGTGTTTTGCGTGTCTTATTGCGGCTACTCCTGTAAAGTAGTTTTTACAGTTTATTCCAGTTTCAGGCCAGATTCATAATGGGTTAAATCCAATTAAATTACTAATAATTTATTTCAGACTGATTGAACTTACATAAATCAATGTTATGTTCACATTGCAGTTCCTTTTGCGAGTTAAAACTTCACCTTAGCAAATTATGGCATTATAATCAAATAATTACGTCACAATCCATTCTGCTTAACGTTCATTGATCCTCTGCACTGGAAATGAGAGAGAAAACTCTACTAACTGGGAAAACTAAAATTCCTGTATAAAATTGTCAAGATTAAAGGTCGTTTGCCTCGCAAGGTATTCTGAAATTATGTGTATTTTAACATCAATTCTCTGTAAGGACCAAAAATGCTTGGCCACGCACTATCATGGAATTTTATTTTATGACTATAATATTAGAGAGTGCCCTATATAAAGACTACTGGTAGGTAAATTTTGGACAGTACCTCCTTGGTTTCCATAGCAACGGCTTTGAAATATTTTGTCATGGCAAAACTGACCTGATTGTCTTCACCATGTAAAATAATTCCGTGCTTCCTTAATGTAGGAAAGTTATGAACATAACATGGGTTTCATTTTATAGCTAAGTAATCAAAGTGTCTGTGCATCTAAATTTTATTCAATTTAACCCAAGGTTTTTAATATGATACAGATCAATTTACATGAATTTGTCATAAAAATGAATACAATGGTGCCTATTTCTTGATATGCGTATTTGAATTTTGCAGGCAATTGATATGCGTATTTGAATTTTGCAGGCAATTGAAACTTAGAAAAAAGATCTCTTTAGTAAGATCAAGCTTAGATCTAAAAGATGCAAAAAGATTTGAGGTGGGGAAATCAGTTATAAGTCACATTCCAATCCCCTCAAATTAGAACTTTTCCTAAAAATTAACCAAGAGTTATTTCCCTTTGCTGACTCTTTTGCACTGAAGACAAAAAATTAAACTGGTGTTATTTCCCTTTGTTGACTCTCCTGTATTGAAGTCGAAAGAAGTTTATAACAACATGTGGCAAAACAGACGCCAGAAAAATAAACATGAAACAATAACGGAAAAATGATGTGATTTTCAACTTTTTAAATTGGAATTCAGGTGTGAATGGCAAAGGAATTCATCAAATGAAGGAGACACTGCTTTCTCAGCATTCAACTTGATAATGATGTACAGGTCTTTATTATGATAATAGATTTTTAATGTCAAATTCACTTTGCAAAATATTGAAACAAATTTTATGAGGTCTGACTTGCATTCCCATCATGTGGGATTCCATGTACTCTAAAACCCATGAGAAAAATACAAGATGCAATTGGAGGAAAACAACAAGCAGAAGATAGGGCAGTCAGTGGGAATGGTTAGAACAACCCTAGGCACAGGTATAAATTTGAATGTTTTCAAATATTCATTTTGTATAAAAACTACATGTAAGAAGCTTTTTTCAAATAAAGTGACATAATTTTAAATTAAATAATTTTTTTTATATAATAGACTTAATTGGTCTATATTCAAAGATCACCATGTTAGCAGGACATTCCAGATATATATCTTATTAATATATTTGCATTATAGGAATTTTTGCTTGCTTCAGAAAGCAACTTACTTTGGCAAATCATAACTACAAAGTTTATCAAAAGGAGGAGAATATTGTAGAAGATGTAAGTTTGTATGTAATGAAAAATATACACAAGGCTATATAAAAAAAAATATATATTTTTGGTAACATTGTGGCGGTTCCAGGAATCTTGAAAAGGGGGGGGGGGGACCAGTGTGGTCTCGGGGTACTGGCTCAAGGCCACACCAAAAAAATTGATTTATTAAATCTGATGTATATTTTGGACACAAAGAGGGGGGGGGGGGGGCTGGGCCCCCCTCTAAATCCGCCATTGGTACAGTTTAAAATCTAATTTGGCCAAAAAAATAGTAGGTGGTGGGTAAAGATTAGTATCATTAGAGTTTTAATCCATTATCTTTTTCCATTTTGTACCTAGTATTTGAAAATGTTGTTTACTGAAATAAGTTCCAGTGAAAAGTTGAATAGCTAATTTTCTTTAGATTTTGGTTTATCTGCCCTTTGTAAAGGATCATAGAGATACAATAATAATTCATTTAATTTTGTTTTATCCTATTTATTATCTTTAATAATATTTACTAATCATTCCGTTTGTCTTATTTATTAGTGAGAAAAATGTTTGGAAAAGAAATTTTATAAAACAACCAGTGTTTAGTAACATTTTGAACAAAATATTATTTGGCAAAATGCCAATTTTCGAAGTTAAAAATACCGAAAACGAAAAAAATCCCCACTCCACTTTTCATAAAAGTTAAGTAATATTATTATGGTGTTTCTAAAATTTAAGGTGGTTTTTTTCTTGAATTGCCTGCATTTCTTGAAAGACTTCTTGAAATATAGGGTAAAAACGACCATTTTCAAAATGTAAGAATTTGGTCATCTTTGAGCCATCAATTGAAGAATTTGCAGGTGACTTGTAGAATTTTTTTTATTGTGTTATATAGTGCTTCATTTGTTCTATTCATATAATGTATGGATTATCTCAAAATAATAAAGATGATTAAACCACATGAAATCAAGTATATAGCATTTTTATGCTTGAATTGAGAGTAAATGGGGACAAAATCTATATTAGCCCGTTACCATGGCAACCAAGGTAGTAACTTTAATTTTGAATGTTGATTATGTCATACTGTATGGGCATTAATCAACTGAAAAAGTTTCATGAAAATCGCTCATGGTGTGTGCCACAGCCCTACAGTAAAATTTTGGTCCTTACAGAGAATTGATGTTAAAATGTTTACAAACCAGATTTCTTTCCGAAAATCATTGGCGTTAATGCTAACTAACCAACCCACACAAGTGCAAGTTAAGTCTGTAGTGTGAAACGGTCGTAAGTCAACTCACACACAGTGCAGACAATATCCAAGTTAATTAAGGTCTTCCGTTTCCAACGGAAGACCTTCTACTGATTGTGACGATTAAGATTATTAAGGTCTTCCGTTTCCAACGGAAGACCTTCTACTGATTCTGATGGTTAAGATTATTCTTATTATTCTTTTTTTTTTTTCCTAGACGCCAACTTTGAAGCTTCATATCTTCCTCATTTCTGAACGGATTTTGTTCAAATTTTCAGAGCTTTTAGACTTTACTAAACACTCTCAGAATATTGTAATACAGTTCGGAAATTACCTTCTGTTCACGAGTTATTCCCCTTTGATTGAAATTTTTATGCCTCTGGTTTCCAGACAAAGGCTCTGAAACTGTAATAATTGGAGCACAAAACCCTTTGAAATTGAAAAGAAGAAGCATTGAAGTTGTGCACATCGGTTTTTGTTTTTTGATTTTTGCATTAAAAATGGCGCTAGAGAGGGGTCAAAAGTTAGAACGCGGAAAAGAGCAAAAATTTTGACATATTTTCCTTTATATCTTTAAAACTAAAAATATTTTGTTAAAACATGTAGAATAAAAGTTGTGCATAATAGCAAGAGCTTTCATTTGATATCATTTAAAAGGGGCTGGCCCCTATAATTAGGGATCTAGAGCCCTTGAAAGTTTTCGCTTTATAACTCAGAAACGGTAAATATTTCGATATGGCTTTCGGAATTAAAGTTGTTCTTTAACACCTTATTAATCTCATACAAATGTTGTTTTGTTCGAGTATTGCGTAATATGTCGTAATATGTAGGTAAAAAGCAGGTCCCGTAAACAGGTAAGCGTTTTCAATCGGCAAGTAAATCAGAACTCTTCATGTGTATAACTTTAACAAACTTGCAATAAATTATATACCCTACTGTATTTTATGCTAATTTTCTTCTAAATAAGGTTTTAAACGTGTTCTGTGGTTCACTCATAAATTATTTTTTACAACTTTCTTTTCTTTTTTAATTTAGATTTAAAGGGAACACGTCTTCAAATAAAGGAAGGAATTAAATGTATCTATTAATTATTCGATGCTTAAAGTTTAATATTACTTATATTAAACTTTAAGCATCGAATAATTAATGAACATTAACTGTACGCATTTTACCAGTTTACGTTCTCCATGTTCACCTCGATGTTATGGTTATGTAACACAACCCGCGATCCCACGTTGCCGAGGTCACCAGTGTACCAGGCACCTGCGGTCATAAGCCATGTAAACAAAACAAACATCTGAGAAGACAAATCCATTGTGTAGAAACAACGATTAATGAAACATTATGTTTTTTTTATTTATATCGAATCTTTAAGATAACTTAATCTCATCTTTGATTTAATCTTTACGAATTTTAATCGCTTTCATCGACCTGGTCACTGTTGACACAACAATACGATTAAAAAAAAATATTTCTCTATCCCGTGTTATAGTATTCTATTTCAATTGTAATTGAAAAGGTGCTACGGCAAAGAATTGTATTTAGTGATACTTGTGTAAAGTATAATTTTTACTATCAGTCTCTTGTTTCTTCATTTAATTTTTCATTTAATATTAAATAAACTATATACGTAAAATAA